CAACCAACTGAGCCACCCAGGCGCCCTTTTAAAAAATTTAATAATAATACCCATTACTTTAAATGTAGAGGTAATTTACCTAAAAACACATTGAACATAATATTTGAAAATGTAACATACTGTTAGATATGTTCTGGGGCGCCTGGGTGGCTCAGTTGGTTGGGTGTCTGCCTTCAGCTCAGGTCATGATCCCAGGGTCCTGGATCGAGCCAGGTATCAGGCTCCCTGCTTGGCAGGGAGCTTGCTTCTCCCTCTCCCTCTACCTGCAGCTCTCCCTGCTTGTGTGCTCTCTCTCTCTAATAAAATCTAAAAAAAAAAAAAAGAAAAAAGTAGATATGTCCTGTTTCCTGACTTGTGGACATCCTGTGTATATAGCCAATCTAGAGCAAATACTTTTCTTTTAAAAATTGACTTACTTATTATTTGAGAGAAAGAGAGAGAGAGAGCACATGTGTGCAAACAGGGGGAGGAGCAGAGGAAGAGGAAGAGAAGCAGACTCTGAGCCTGATGCGGGGCTCCATCCCAGGACCCTGAGATCATGACCTGAGCTGAAATCAAGAGTCGGTCGCTTAAGCGACTGAGCCACCGAGGCACCCCTATTACAGTGGGATGGATCCACATTTATTCTACCTGTTACCTGCATTGCCTTAGCGTAGGTAATGCTATCCCCTTAACAAGCACACAGACTCGCTCACTTCTGGATGGACCCTGCTGTTCCCCAAATGGAACCCACCCTCTGCTCTCAGAGAAGGACATTGTTTGCAGGTCTTTTTGCCATCATCACAGGCTGTAGGACTGTACTGGCTACGTGAGCCTCTCAACCTAATGATGAAAAGGACCTAAATCTGTCCTGAATGTGCTGGGCATGCTGACAGGTGTGACGTGTTGACTGGCAGAGGTGGATGGTCCCCCATGTACCCAACAGATCTCAAGAGATAAGGCCATGAGGGCACATCGTACTTCCTGACCCCCACAGGATATGGTAATTTAGAGACAGAACCACAGCAGATTAATACCAAAGTGTCGAGGGTAACAGGAAAAGGTATTTTGCTTTGTTTTAAAGCCAGGAGCCAGGACTCTATGTGGGAGAGGGACCTGAGTGAAGCAGGTCAGGAGGAAACATAGGGACTAGTGGGGCAGTGTGGGCTGGGTCCCAACCTGAGCTATTTCCTATTCTCCCTCCTGCTGGTGACCCCTCTGCTCCACCTGGCTGGGGCTCAGAGACAGGAGAAAAGTGACCAGTCCAGCAGAGCAAGCACAGTACTGGACAAGACTCAGCCTGCCCATCTCTCCCACCCTCTTACCCTGGAAATTCTCCCAAAGGCCTGAAGCTGGAGTTTCCCAGTGCCGCCGTCCCTGGGGGGCTCATATGGATAATCTTCCATCACCTCCTCATCCTGTGCGGTCAGCAGCAGTCCCGGCAAAGGCCTTGCTGTCCACATGGCAGCCAGCATCCCTGGGCGCCGGAGTCCATGCCTTGCCAGGAGTGCCAAGGGCAGGTCTTCCAAACCTACAGCCCTGCCACTCAGAGGCCCCAGCAAAATGAGGGTGCTGTTCATGTGGGTATGCACAGGTGCATTTTCCACAAGGGAGGCACTTGATTTTCATCCGATTCTCCAAGGACAACGTGGATCTAGTGACCAGGGATGACACGGAGGTGGTATTTTCTCGCAGTGCCTGGGAACAGTTGGGTAGTCTGTGCATTTCAAAAAGGCTCGTTTAACCTTCTACCCATTCCCTAGAAACCCACACTGTCATTATGGGACCAAAGAAAAAAGATCATATTCTTTATTCGGGGTGGGGGTGTGGAGGTGTAGACACATCTTCTCAGAAGACAGAGTCTTTCCAAACCCTGCCTCTTCCCCACCATGTTCCCCACCAGATTCACTCCCTAATTCCCAGATATTTGTTCCAAAAATATCTGTTAAGTACCAGATACTGTGCTACATCTAGGTCCTCAGCGCATTTTCCTGAAATTTCTTTCCCCAAGATTGAACAGTAAAGCCCACGTGAATATGTAGGAGCTGATGCCCAGCCAGGAGGAACAGCGGGCCTGCTCGTCAGTATCCTGCTTCCCTGTCTCCTGAAGAGCCTGCCTGTTGGTTTAAGTAAGACCCAGGGCCCCGATCGGCCACGTGGCTCCAACATGGCGGGCCTCCTGCTGTGAACTTCAGCCTTAGAAATCATTCTCTTGCTGAGGGAAGCCTTACCTTATTTCTTATCCTTACATTCACTAAAACAAAAATAGGTTCTTAGGCTCCATGTTGAACCCATAGATTCTTAATTTCCTGGAGCGGGGTCCAGGAATCTGTCTTTCTGAAATACTTCCTGATTTGGGAACCATGACTGCCCTCACCCCTTTAAATGAGGAAGGTGATTCCAGAAATGTGTTCCTACTGTGTGTGCCAGGCAAACAAGAAGGGTGCTACTGGGGTGTGTTCGGTCACATTTCAGCCATGTCAACTTGCCTCATTGTTCTAGATGAGATTAAAGTCCAGTCCGCAGAAATAAAAGCCCAGAAGACACCCAAAGAGTGCTGGTCTCTCTGACAGTCAGTGATAATGATTTCTTGGGTGTCCCGAGGACAGTGAAGTGGGACAGATTGTCAGCGCACCAGTTCCGTCTGGCTGGGTGGTGCCAATGTGGAAGGATGCCGAACCCCACGGGGAGCTGTGTGGGCGTGGTGCTGTGTCTCCTCCCCTGGACCTCTGTCCCCATGTCCCCCCAGAGACAGTGGCCTGGCTGCTTCTGTGCCCTTGCTGCGCGGGCATGGAAACGGGAGCCAGGTAAGGTCGTTAAGGCCCTACCAGCTAGCGTGGTTCTCTGGAGGACGCAGCACCCTGCCAGGGAGGGTTCGTTTTGGAACCAGAAAGAGCCTCAGACATAGAGACACCGGCAATGTCCCTTCCGCATGACACAGGAGGGATCTCGAAGGCAATGACAACTAGTCAGTGGCAGAATTAGAATTAAACATAGTTTTTCTGGCTTTTTCTTGCGACGCAGCCGCTCAGCGGTTGTCAGCTCATTCCATCCTGGCTGAGAATCTAGGAAGGTGGCTCGACAGGGCTGATTTGGTTGGCTCGGTTCCGTCTCACCAGAGCCTCTAAGAAAATGATTCAATGACCTCACATCTGAAGTATACGGGAGAAAATTTCAACAGGGTTCTCCTTCTACTCACTCTCCTGAAACTGACCTTCGAGGCCTGGGGTCACCAGCTGTGTATGGGGGTGTATGTGGCTTCCAACCACTCACTCGTCCACGGATGCACAAATTCTCATTATACAGACACTTATTGACAAAGTACTTGTTGAACACCGCATGCCGTCCTCAGCCCTACAGGGACAGCAGGGAACAGAGTAGCTCTCGTACGGTGAATGCAAGAGATGGAAAGCAAGCTAGGACAGATCATCGCTGACTGTGATACGTGCCATGTGGGGAACAGGCATTGACCGCTTCAGACGTATACAAAAAACTCCCTGCAAATCAACAAGAACAGAACCATCTCACAAAAAATGGACAAGGCACAAATGCGAGATCTACAGAAGAGGGGGCGGGGCACGGGGACAAAGGCCTGGTGTTCAAAGTTGCAGCCTGCCCCGAACAGCCCCCTGCGCCCCACTGAGAGGGCAGCACCTTTTGGCACCAAGATACACATCCATAAAATAGGACAGCTGGTTCTGCGATGAGGTATTCAAACATAAAGATGTCCTGAAACACCTCAGAGGGGTTGGGGAGGACTGGCATGGAAAATGGGGAGATGGGGCAGGAGAAGATAAAACCTGAGCAGCCTTGGCCCATGCCAGTGGGGGGAAGGGTGGAGGGACACTGAGGCCTGTGGGGAGAGAGGGAGCCACGGGGTTCTCTGTCCTTCCAGGCGAGCAAGCCTCTTTCATGAAGGAGCCAGACCGATGTGAAGTCCTCTCATTCAGTATGAGGAATAGGATGACCCGGAGCGGTCGGCACGTGGACTCCAAACAACAGCCAAGGGTCCAGAGAAGGGAGAGAGGGGGCAGGTCTAGAAACCCAGGGAGATTCAGGGGACTTGGAATGAGCTCAGATTTACAACCTCGTAGAGACGGCAGGGCAGGGGTGGGGGGGCAGCATACAACATGAAGATGGCATGCACCCAGGGGAGCACAGACTTGCAGGGTAAGAATTAACTTCAGAAAACCCAAAGCCAGAAGCGCAGGGCCTCCGAGGCCACACAGGGAGTTGGGTCATTTTAAGGAAATAGTTTAGGGATGCCTGGGTGACTCAGTCAGTGAGGCGTCTGCCTTGGGCTCGGGTCACGATCCCAGGGTCCTGGGACCGAGTCCCGCATTGGGTTCCCTGCTCAGTGGGGAGTCTGCTTCTCCCTCTGTCTACTGATCCCCCAGCTTGTGCACATGTGCACTCTCTCTGGCAAATAAATAAATAAAATCTTTTTTTAAAAAAAATAAGAGAACAGCTTATGAAGTGGAAAAGCAACCCATGGATTAGGGTGAAAGCCCAAGATGGGGGTGGTACATCAGGGCCAAGCGCAGGGGGGCTCAGTCCAAGCGGCCTCAGCCATGGGGGGAGGTGCTCGGTATGTGTCTCTGGTTCCTCAGCCCCTTTCTCTCCATGCGCAACACTTATCTCACATGTCAACATGCTCCTTCCTTTGTTTCACATCGGACCAGACGTGAGGAGTCACTGAGGATGTTTAGAACAAACACTCCCAGGAGGGTGTCAGAGTCACTCTGCTGAGCCAAGAGTAACAGAGGTTCCCATGCTGACGGCAGCAGCTACGCTCATCCTTGAACCCTGCCCAAAGCCAGGGATCACCATTACCCTGGGTACTCCACAGGCACGGAGGAATGCAGTGTCCAAAGCATCACCCGGTTCTTTATATTTGTGCAAATTAATTTTCTATAATCTTTTCTGTATTAAAAATATGCCAGCATACCTATTTACAATGAGATTCCAAAAAGGGGTATAGATTACTCCTTGAGTGTCCCACCTATTTTCCAATGGAGATTCTAATGAAGATTTTGTGATTTCACTTCATTCCCAAATTAAGTTGTATTCCAAATGCATATTTTTATTTAACACATCTTGGAAATGAAATTCTTTGTTCTCCTAACATCATAATTTGCCTTGGGGTCTCACGGGGGGATGAGTAGGGGTATCTACCTTGGAAAGGTGTGGGAACTCCTCCTCCCCCTCCCGCTCCTCCACCCTTCCCCTCCTCTTCACTTTCGTGATCATCACCATCATCAACATAAAATGGCCAGCTGGGGCAGAGCTGAGGCCAGAACCCGCACACCCCGCAGCTGAGCTGTGGTGCTCACCCTTGAGGAGGGGCTTCTCGGAGATCCTCCGGATGTTATAAACAGCACTGGTCAGGGACACCTCTGGAATGAGCTCCGCGAGCAGGTAGCCGGAATACCAGGCGCATATGGAGGCGAAGAAGAAGAACGCCATCTTCAAAGTGCCTGGGGACAGACAAGTCGCCACTGTGGATGCCCAGGGGACAGGTGCCATCCTAACCCCCACTTCCTGCATCAGCGTCTGCAGGGCGCTCTGAGGAGTTCGTCCCGGGAAGTGGCAGGTGGGTAAGGGCCCGCGGTGGCTGTAATGAAGCCACGATGACTTAGCTGGCATTGCTGAGACTACGCATTTGAGGTTACGGCGACAGATAAGAGAAACAAGAGATGAATGCTTTCTATGCCAAGTTTTTATATTTGCTATTGGTCTGGGTTTTAGAGCTTCCTCGGATGCTAACATCAGTGATTCATTAGTGGCCTCGTGACCCAACATGACTGACACAGACCAAAAGTGGCTCATTCCTTTGTGAGGAGGCTTTTGGAAGTGGACTGCAAAGTCCAGAGGGCAGGGTCTCTTTTGTTTATGCTGAGGATAGCACCTGGTGCCCTGTGAACAGGCAAAGGGTCCCCAAGACCCTGGGAAAAGCCACCGAACCTGTCATTATCATCACAGACCAGCTTGCAGAGAAACCCAAGTTTTGCAGAAGCAGCAAATCCTTGGAGGTAATCTTTTGGGTTGATTGGCTCTGGTACCTTCCTCCCAATTTTTTAAGGAAAAGGCATTACCCACTCCTAGGTCACAGGAGGCCTAGGGGACAGCTCCCCATCCCTTCACAGACAACCTGCCACCAGACCTTTCTGATTTTACCCCCTTAAATAGCTCAAAGATCGGGACTCGATTCAGGATCACCAAAAGGGCCACTTGCAAGGCAAGAATGGCTGCAGGCCCAGCACAAGAGAACAACAGGAATTTCTCCATCAGCATTTAAATATGTGTTCACAGGTCCAGTCCTAAGAACTAAGAAAAGGAAGGAAAGGAGGGAGGGAGGAGAAGAGAAAGGAGAGGGAGGAAAGAGAAGGGAGGGGAGGAGAGGGACCTCACACCTGACCCCACAATGTCCTGTGGTTGCCTCACTCCTGTACCCACTCGGGCCAAGCACCTGGAAATAACCAACCCCTCCTATAGCCTCCAGGCCTCCCCTCCCACTCCATGGCTCAGGGCAGCTGTGCTGGTCAAAGCCTCCCAAGTCCTCCATGCTTCCAGTGCCCCGTCCCCCGATGACAGGCACCCCTGTGCATGTCCTCCTTGGCTGACACCCACACTCCTGACAGGGCTCCCACTTTGTGGGCACGTCCTGGCCTTCTCTGCTGGCTTTCCCTCCCAGGGCACAGCCTGGGCCTCTCCTCCGGATCCCAGGATTAGCTCGCCCAGACAATCCTCTAGTTCCTGACAGGGGTGCCCAATTGCCAACCTGTCAGTACCCTGGATGTCCCAGAGGAAAACCCTTCATTTTTCCTCCGCTCCCCAGATTTGCTCCTGACCCACGTCTGGCCCATCTCAGTGGATGGGCCAGACATGGGGTCAGGATGGGCTGGGGTCAGGTGCCAGATACCTGGGATTCTTCCTTTATTTCACACTTCCCCTCCCAGCCCTGATGGAATCCATCAGCCAGTCTCGTTGGGTTTACCAAAACCATAAATCTCACCTCCATAGACTTTTCTTCATCTCTACTGCCTCCTCCCTGCCAGGCCACCACCATCGTTAACTCTTCCCTCTCGCTGGCAGTGAGTAAAAACTCCACACCCCGCTGTGCTCCAGACAACGCGTGGACTTATCAGAGGGCATGTAATAAAGACTGTATCTCAGCTTTGTCCCAGTTCCTGGCACAGAGAGCCTAAAACCCTTGGTATCTCCTATCTGTTAGGAGCGTCTGCTGTTATTCCTAAGAGGCTCCTTTCGACCACATCTGAGTCTAGGCTCAAGAGGTGACAGGGGTGGAGGAGTGTCCTCAGGTCCTTAGATAGCTTTAAGGGACGGGCTGGCCATGTGATTGGAGGGCTGGCAGTCTGACCTCCAGGAGGAAGATGAAAGGGAACCTGAGCTGGTTATGTGACCAATGACATAGTAAGACTCAAGAACTCTGGACTCCCAAAGCTTGAGGCTGGGCACCTTTCTGGTAGTTAACACACAGATGTCAGAGGACAGTGATGCACCATGACCCCAGGGGGCAGAGGCCCAGAACTCCAAGGCTGGGGCCCTCCTAGTCTTCCACCCAGAAGCCTCCTCATTGGGCTGGTGCTCCAGATCTCTGGACCGTCCACAGGGGATGTGTCCTCCAGTCCATGTGCTTGTGCTTGGGGGCGACTCGTGAGCTCAGGGGGTGGCGCTGATGGAACAGGGTGGGACGCTTAGGTTTCACTGGGACGAGTTGGTCTTTTTCAAGTGTGCACTTCCACATCCAGGATGTTCTGTTTTCCAAACCATGCGGCCCCTAAAGTTGTTAGAAGGTTACGCAGGGGTGGGACAGGGTGGCCACTGAAGTTTGCAGGGCCAAAGGACACCTCAAAGCTGAGAAAACCAGCCACAGGAAACAAAGTGAGAGCCATGGGCGGGGCTGACTCTGTTCCTGCAACTCCTCTCTTTGCTCTGTGCTGGGTCACACCGATCCACTGGAGCCTCGGCCCTGTCCTGCCACATACCTTTGCCTGAGTCTGTCCCTCTGCTCTCCTCCGTGACCTCCGGCCTTCTCTCTCTCCCTCCACGGCTCTCCCTACCTCGGTGCAGCCTGCCACATACCCTCACGTCAGCCCTTCACATGCCTTGTTGGCATTGCACACCAAGGGTCGTCCCCCTCCAGGATTGTGCCCGCACACCAAGACATGGGTCACAGAGGTTCCAGAAAATTCTGCTGGATGCACGCCGAGTGAGCAGTGTGGAATGACTGCTGGAAACGGAGTCAGCACCCAGAGCGTCTGGCTCAAAGGCAACAGTAGCCCACTGTGTCCTGCGTGTATCAGATCACAGCTGGACCACTTTGTCCAAGTGTCATATTTAAAGAGGACAATTGGCAAACCAGAGACTCTTTGCAGGACCTTCTAGTCACCACGTCTCGTGTGAGGTCTTTGAGCACAGGTGTTTAGCTTGGAGGACACCGAAACAGAACACGATGCTACCTTCCACATGTGTAAAGGGCAGCTACACGGAAGGGAGACAGGATTCTGTCCCCGGCTGAACAAGGACACGTGAACAGAAGTGACAGGGAGGACCACGAGGAATGACTAAATGGCCCAAGTGTCCTTGTAGGCACAACTATAAACTGTGGCTGGCCTGCCCTGCAAGGCAGTAAGCTCCCAAACCTGGCCACTTTCCAGCGCTCCCAGGAAGGCTGTAAAGTACCCGTGCTTCAGGTGAGGGGTGAGCCAGTGACGTTCCGGCTGGGGGCAGCTGGTTTCTGGGGCTGGCCGAGAGAAGCCAAGACCTAGAGCCAGAACCACCTCCAGGCGGGAGGGCAGATCAGGCAGCACAGACTGGGACCAGTCCACCACAACAGTCTGGTGGCCCCCGCCAGCAGGGAGCTAGACCGGCAGCCGGTGGGCAGGCCTTACAGTCACGGAAGTATCCAGCTGCCGGGGGAGAGCAGGCCTGGCAGCCTGGACAACGCCCAGCCAGTCTCGGGGCTGGACACCTGCGTCAGTCCCTGGGATGAGTGCACACCAGGTAGGACCTGGAGCAGTTTGTGAAATAGGCTTAGACCCTGGGCGGCAGAGAAGAACCCCGCGGCCGAGCGGGGCACAGGTGAGGACTCATTTGGGAAAGGTGGGAGCCAGACTTCAGCTAAGATGGCTCCCTGGCCCTGTGTGGGAGGGGGTCCAGCAGCTTCCAAGGGGAGCTAAGGGCAGGGAGGAAGTATGCTGAGTTTAGGAACCTTCTGTGATCCTGTAACCAGGATCTGGTCTTTTCTTGTAAAGTAATTAAGTCATCATCAGCAGCTGACACACGTCCTCCTATGGGCTTCCAACCAGCAAGTGTCACATGGGAGGGTTAGAGCAAAGGCCAGCTCCAAGCAGGACAGGGAGTCAGTGAAATTCCTCTTCAGAGACACCCCACTCATCCTGTATGTGTGCCTGCGTGTGTCCTAACCTCATCCCTACCCTCAGATTCTTGGGGTCTCAGGTTGGCCCCGGACCCTTCACTTACACTGGAGAAGGCAGCAGTCCTAAAACCAATTTACACTAAGCCAGGCTACAGGTAAGGGGATCTCAGGGCACCCCCTACCCCTCCAACCTGGGGACCCTGAAGAAGGCAACTCTGAACCCCTAAGAACACACTTTTTCTGGTGGGATCTCCTTCAACATAAAGTACGATGAGGAAGCTGTTTGTCACTAGCAGCCTTGCCAACATGAACCCAAATCCCTGGAGGCAGCCTCACCTGCACCTCTTGCCTCGGGGAGGGGGGAGTGAGAGAGGGCTGAGGGTGGATGAGCCCTACTCATCCTCCTCGGGACTTGGCTGCTTTGTGGCTTCAGGCTCTGCTGGTCTCAGTGTCCACTGTTGTCATTGTCCTGTTGACTGAGGCTTTTTGGCAGAAAGGCTGGGAAATGTCACACCTGAACCCCATAGTAGGTCTGGAAGGTAACCTGCCTGGTAAGTTTCACACACCAACGCCCTACTTTTGAGGAGTTAGGACGACCGCTATCAGGCAGCTGCCCCATAGGTGAAGGGTGGTGGCAGCTTAACTTACTTCATCCATTCCATCTGAACGTCCCTCCTGTGAACTTTCTACCTGGGACACACCCAAGGGCTTGACCAAAGTATCCAGGAAAATGCTGCATCTGAGAATGTTGCCAAATCCTGAGCTCACAAAATCTAAAGTAACACGGTTCTGAGCTTCTGCAGGTGACTCTCTCTTACGCACACACGTCCATATAAATACAGATCTGACATTATGTCAAAGCTTTATGCAAAAGGACCACATGGGCCATGAATGACTCACAAGGGCCATGTGTGAAAAAGGTGTAGGTAGGGGAAAGCAGTCTAAGAATATTCAGCATTTTCCACCAAGTAGCCAGCAAAATGCTGTAAGAATATAGAAATAATGAAAAAAAAAATCTTCCAAAACAGGTATCATGAAAGTAATGCCCCAAGGGAGATGTTTTCTCCCCCAAAAAGAGACATATATTTCCACCCATTTATCCTACAATCCACACAAGTTACCGAAAACACTGCTGTTCATAAATAAACAGTTTTTTAGAGAACATGACTATTTCACACAATAAAGAAAAATCTGAAAATCTGTCTTTCCAAACTTTGGGAATGAAGCAGCAAAGGTGGTGTTTAGAACTTTCTGGAGTATGACCACACAGCTGGAAGGGTGTGCCCCAACAAAAGAGGATGGTTTAGTCTACCACCTCCAGACAGACAAGCTGCCCTCCAGGGAGGGGGAGAGGCCACTAAAGAAGCCCAGAGAACTTCCATTTCTGAAGTTCCCATTTTTGTACAAGGTATGCTGCCTTGCTCCGGGAGGAATCCAGATTCCTCAGATTATAGGGAGGAAACAGGAAGCACAAAGGTGGGCAGGTTAACCCGGAACCCCAGAGCGCCCTATAAGGCGAGGCAGGCAGGCAAGTGACTACTGACGGCGGTCGCCGCCAGGAAGGCGGGCTTTGAGAGGGGACATGACTGGTGGAATGACTTTTGTTTCTTCTTCCCTTTTTCCTATTTTTCCCAAGCCTTCTCAAGTAATTTGATGTTTGGAAAACATAAAAACGGCCTTATAAAGAGATGCTAGCAGAAATTTTTTTTTTTTTTGATTTTTTTTTTTTTTGAGAGAGAGAGAGCATGAGAGGGGGGAGGGTCAGAGGGAGAAGCGGGCTCCCTGCTGATCCCAGGACTCCAGGATCATGACCTGAGCCGAAGGCAGTCGCTTAACCAACTGAGCCACGCAGGCGCCCCGAGATGCTAGCAGAAATTCTATCAGTGTCAATGGGGCATTCCACATTCATCCGTCCCCACCTCCCACCCACTCACCAACCCCCCCCCGACTTAAAAAGGCTGCCTCACTGTCCCTCACTTTTCATAACTTCCTGGGCTGGTCAGTTTGACCTGTGGCTAGTGACCCCCGACTCCTGCCAGAGCGGCACCAGGTGGAGCCCACAAGGGCCCCTACTTCTCAGCTGGCAGCCCTTTGCCAACGGCGCATGAGGTCGGGGCGGGGGGGGGGAGGGGCATCCCGGCAGGCACATGCCCTCCTCCGTGGACGGAGCCCCCTCCGCTTGGAGCTCTGCCTGCACTCACCTGCTACCCACTTTCCAGGCAAAGCATCAGACTCACGGAGCGGGGAGACGGTGTGGGACTATCTGCACGGGAAACCCAGCGCATTGGCCCGCGCCCGAGCCGCTTTCCACATTTCTGATCCCAGGGCTAGGGGGAAGACCCGGCCCCAGCACCTGCCCCGCCCTCGGGCTCGCGCGAGGGGTGGGGGGCTCCCAGGAAGGGCGAGGGGGCGGCTCTCCCCTGCCGGAGTCCCCTCGCCCTCCTCCTGCGGTGGGGATCGCACTCACCCGCAGTCCCCGGGCGCATCTTCCAGGTGCAGCTCTCTGGCGCCGGAGCGAGCCTCGAGGGGCCCGGCGACGACAGAGATGCACCCTCGGAGCGGCCGGCGGCGGGGAAGGAAAGCAAAGGGCGAGCAGACGGGGCCTGACGGAAGTGCGGGCCGGGCGCGGGCCGGGCGTGTGCAGGCGGGCCAGGTGCCTGCAGATCCGGCAGGTGCGGGCCAGTTAGGTGCGCGGGGCGGCGCCCACGAGCCCCGGGGCTGCATCCCAGGAGGGATGGTCCCTCCGCCCGGCCGACAGGGGGCCAGGAGTAATGAGCAGGGTTTGTTCCCCACGGAGGACACTGTGTCCCCCTCTTTTTTTCTTTTAAAAAGATTGTATTTATTTATTTGAGAGCACAGCAGGGGTAGCGGCAGCGGGAGAGGGAGAAGCAGGCTCCCCGCTGAGCAGGGATTCCCAGGACCCTGGGATCCTGACCTGAGCTGAAGGCAGACGCTTAACTGCCTGAGCCACCCAGGAGCCGTGGACACTGTGTCCCTTAAGGGTTGGCAGCCTCAGCCACCAATTTAATGTCTCACAAGGGGAAATGGCTACAAAGATAAGCATGACCTGAGCCTTCTAAATGTCAAAGCCGAGTCCTAGCAGGGTCCAAGCTGGAGGTCAACACTGCAGGGCCAAGGTCATAAGGCTCCTTGCTTCCTCCAGGGCAGTCCTGCTGCCCCTGTGGTTTGCACAGCCCAGCACGGTCCTCCACCTCTTGTTTCCTCCTTCACTTCAGGGCTTGATTTGGGGGAATGGAGCAAGGACAGTGCCCCCAACCCCATGGTCAGGGTCACAGGTCTGCAGGTCCTTTTGTTCACAGGGAGGCCAGGGGTGCCAGGGTGGGAGTCTGGCAGGTGTTTGAAGAAAGCTTCCCAGAAGACACCCAAGCTGCTCTCTATAGACTTACATCCCAGACATCCATCAGGTTTTTATTGCTCTTTGGAATACATGGCAGTCATAGTGGCCTCAGGCTGCTAAGGGCAAGTTAAGGCTCCAAGGGCAGTTGGTCACCTTTGTAGAAAGAGTGTTCCAGGTTGGCAGGGTTCTATAGGAGACCCACTCCCACTCCCAGAGTCTGTGCGCGCTCCACAGTTCTGCTCTGTTCCTGTTTCTCCCCTCCTGAAAAGCCCAGAGGCCCCAACCAGGCCCCTCTCCCAGTCCCAGGATAGCCATCACCCTGTGGGCTGTCAGAAGGGGCTTTACCCTAACCCTCCTCTACCATCGTCTTTGCCTCCTAAGGAGCTCCTGTGTGGCCCCATCCAGGGAGCCTGGAGACACATGTCCTGCGGACAGTTTGGCTTTACTCTTCCAGGTCACTCGTCCCCCGACTGTGTCCTAAATCAGGGAGGTCAGAAGACAGGCTCTCCACAGTTCCCAGGACTTGAAGAATGGCACATTTCAGTTCGGACGCCACCTCTGGGCAGCTCTCCAGCAACACTCAGAAGCCACTCTCTGGCTGTTCTGCACAGTTATATTAAGCAAGTGCATCAGTGCATTAAGGTGGAGCTTGGTCTCATTGACCAAGAGTCTCACCTTTGCCTAGCTCACCTGATTTTGGAGATTGAGCTTTTATGTCCTGTTCTGTTTTCATTTTCTTTTTGATTGTGGTAAAAAAAAAATGCATAACATAAAATTTACTATCTTTTCCAAATTTAAAAATTTACATTTAATAATAATTTACATTTAAGTGCACAGTTCAGGGGTGTTAAGTATATTCACATTGTTGTACAACAGATCCTAAGACCTTTTTGTCTTACAAAACTGAAACTCTGTCCGCATTAATATCAACTCCCCTTCCCCCACCGCCAGCTCTTGGAAACCACCATCCTACTTAGTTTCTATGAATTCAACTACTTTAGAAACTTCACCGAAGGGGTGCCTGGGTGGCTCAGCTGATTAAGCATCTGCCTTCGGCTCAGGTCATGATCCCAGAGTCCTGGGATCCCTGCTCAGCGGGGAGCCTGCTTCTCCCTCTCCCTCTGCTGCTCCCCCTGCTTGTGCTCTCTCTCTCTCAAATAAAGAAAAATAAAATAAAGAAAAAAGAAAGAAAAGAACTTCACCCAAGTGGAACATAAACTATTTGTCTTTTTATGACTAGCCTATTTCACTGAGAATAAAGTCCTCAGGGTGCATCCATGTTGTAGCATGTGAGAGCATTTCATTTTTTTTTAAGGCTGAATAATATCCCATTATATGTATATTCCACATTTTGTTTATCCATTTATTTGTTGATGAACACTTGGGTTATTTCCACCTCTTGACTAGTGTGAATAATGCTGCTATGAATATGGATGTACATCTCTTCGGGACCCTGTTTTCAATTATTTTGGGTACATACCCAGAAATAGAGGTTGCTGGTGGTCTCAGGAATTCAGCTGGATAGGGATCAAACCATTCTGAACACCTACAAACTCAACAGGAGATC